GCATCCGCGACTCAACACGCGAGGACTCTTCGCTTCTCACCGCGACGAGACTTAGCATTCGTCACGCACACGGTACTATTAACGCACGTTTACAGTTACCTGCACGTCACCGTCAGGCTTCGACACGGCCGCGTCCGCGATTCAGTGTTGCACTTGCGGGCAGGCTATTCCTACAAAACATCGCAGGTGCCGCGTGCGCGACTGATAAAGGCGAATTCAGCTCGTCTGACTATCATATCGGATTCAGCCTCTGTTGCTTCCTCGCCAACCAGAGTTGAATCTCATTGGACCAGTTCCGACACTCACGAAAGGAGACGGACTAGTGTCTCCATCCTCTGAGTGACTATCATCCTCCGAAAGGGGGATTCATTCCCAGCGCGGAGGCGCCGGGCAACTCCACGCGGGCTTTATACTGAGCCACGCAGTACGCTTATACACAAGAGCACTCTCGCACTTTCCTCACACCATCTGACGAGGCTCCTGAATAGGAGAGCACAACATACTCACACAACTTAAGATAGCAGTCGACGGACGTTCGACGGCATTACGAACCAGCCGCTCCAGACCTTAGGCCGTTCGAAACACTGTGACTTGTTCAATGTTTTTCCATTCATTTGCTTGTTTACTTTAATGTGCAAAATTATCGTTTGTGCACCTCCAGGTTTTCCAGCCTCAGTTTTATTTTGTCCCTTAATGGTTTTTTGCCTGCAGTATAATTTTGTCAGTATAATTAATTATGCCTAAAAAAGTAGAACTTTTGCGTGAAATCCATGCACTAACTGCGAAACATCAAAACGACATGAACAATCGCCAAATTGCCCGAAAAATGAAATTAACAGGACAAACTGTTGATTATCATGTTCGTAAATTTAAAAGTAATGAAACATTATCGAACAAAAAACAGTCTGAAATACCGCGCATTACCACTCTAACTAAGGACCGATTGGGTGGTTTACTCCAAACGTAACCGGCGTTTAACCGCATCGGAAATCACTTCGGGCGTTAACTTACACCGGGATACTCTTATTAGTACCATCACTATCGTCTTGCAGGGGCAGGTCTTCATGGAAGAATTTCGGTTAAGAAACCAATTTTGAGGAAAATTAATAAAGTAAAAAGGTTGCAATGGGCAAAAAATACAAGAATTGGATAACTGAAAAAATGTAGACTTATGGAGTATGTCACGTCTTTTCCTCGCGGTTCGGTCGGACGACCTTGGCGTTCCTTCGCGAGCGCGTGACACCGACGGCGGTGGATGAGCTCGCCGGTGTCCTGGAGTTCGGCCGGAGCGCGCGTGTGTGTGTGTGTGTGTGGGTGTGTGTGAAGCAGAGTGATCCCGTTGGTTAAAATGATAACAAAATAATTTATTGTGGCAGTGTACACTGTGTGATGGTCGGAAATGTAGATTACAATTATACGCGGTCTTACAATTAAACGTCGTCTTACGTGGTCGCGGACTTAAGCTAAACGCGGACTTATACTAAACGCGAACTTATTCTAACGCGAACTTATACTAACGCGAACGCAGTCTTATTCTAGCGCGGACTACGGCTAAACGCGGCGTATCGGGCGCTTGTCGCAGGCTGCCCTGCGGACGCGAACGGCGGTGACGCGGCGGCGGGGTACGGTCGTTGTCGCGGCTGCGGCGGCGGCGGTCCGCCTGAGAGGGTGGTGTGGGGGCGCCTTCGAGGAGGCAGCGGCTGGGGAGCCCCGAGCGCGGGGCAGAGACGGTGAGCTCGCCACCTCTATATCCCTCGTCCGCTGCGCTGCCTTTCGGAGTGGTGCTGGCCTTGAGGGCAGATGAGCGCACCTTTCCTCTCGGTCGGGTCTCTGAGTGGCAGGGAGGTCAGGAGCGCTTGACCGAGGCGGTAAGCGCGCTACCTTTGGTTCCCGTGCCCCTCAGATACACCCAGGAGGATGAGCGCACCTTCCTGGTCGTAGCGAGGTTCTAGGATGCTGGCTTATGCCGGCAAGGAATTCGGAACGGCGGTCGTACTGGTATGCGTACGGCCGCCTCGGGAATGGTATCAGTGCGTTATCATGCCGCACTTTTATACCAGTTGCTGCCTAGTCTCGGCGCTTGCGGCGTTCCCCCACGCGAGAGACTAACCGGCGGTGTCGCGATTTGGCGACGGCGTGTGCTGTTATTTGTTTGGCGCTTTGCGCCTGTTAGACGACTCGACGGATGTTCGGTCGGGTCGTCGTGACGAGACGGTTGTTTCGTAACAAGTGATAAATAAAAATTAGAAATTAGAAATTAGAAATTAGAAATTAGAAATTAGAACTGGCGCCGTGTCTTCATTCGCAGGTCAGCAGGGGAGCGAGTTTCCGAGAAATGTTTGGTACTATTTGTGAAACACGGTGGAGGCTCTGTAACGGCGCCTGGTCGGGCGGGGGAGACGCGCAGCAAGGCGCGACTCCCCCCCCCCGTGACAAGAAGTCAGACCAGGCGCCTCCGGGAGGGGGGCAGGGCGGCCGGTTCGCAAGGGCGGACTCTTAGGCCGCTCACCCCCCTCCCCGTGCCAGGAGGCTCCTGACCGGGAGGGGCGGAGGGGAACACTTGGACCCCTTCGCCCCAGCAACCTCGGTCGGGAGCGTAGGGACGGGCCGGGTCCGGACGGGACTGGACCCGGCCATTGACGCCCCTACAGGCGAGGTGTGACCGGACGGCGAGGTGGGGCCCACGTCCGGCCATGGAGGACAGGAACAGCGGGCCGGGAGGGTAATACCCCTCCCGGCCCGGGAAGGGGGCGGGGTTTAGGTTTTTCCCGCCCCGCGGCTGAGGGCTTCCCGGAAGTAATGCGCAAGCGGTTCCCGGGACGCCCTCGCAACAGCCGTATGGGGCCCGGCAGAGGTTTTAGTGGGTAGGCCCCCTCCGGCCGTCAGTACCGGAGGGGGAGAGTCCCACACTACCCCTGGGAAAGTCCCGATTTCCCGGGGGTGTGCGTAATGCATTTCCTCTGCCTA